TAATATTTATTTGCATTTTAGTTTCACATAATTTTGATGAAAAAGCATAAAATTTAGAATAAGATAATATTATGATATATTTTATCTCACTTTGGAGTTGCTGAAAATAAAATAACTGTGTATTTCCTCCTGACCAGGTGATAGAATGTTTGATACAGCCGTGCCTCACACTCTTGAGGAAAGTTTTATGTGCCGATCCAATCATGCGTGTTTCCCTCTCACAACAATCTTCTCTCTTGACCCTGTTATTCAGAGGTGAGTAAAAGAAATTCTGCTAATAATGAGATCAGTCTTAAGCTTTAAGTGTTTCTTCTTTAACTGTAGGTAATATTTACTTTTTGTTCTACTAATAAAACATAAAAGTTTATTAGTGAACATGCTACTAAAATAACTCATCACAATGGAAAATGTTTAATACCTTTGTGGAAATTTCTGTATAATTCTGATACCAAATGGACCTTGGAGCTGAGAAAACCTGAAGCCTCTGGTTGTTCTTTGCACCTTGATGTCAATATCATTTGGTGCTCAGACAGTAAATTAGGATCTATAAAGAGATAAAGTTGCAGCTGCTGTCATTACTGTCTTCTTTCCAATATCTGTTCCCTCTTTCTTGTTTTGCTTTTGCCTTCATATCCTAGAACCTTTGGTGTGATAACTGATTATGTCATTAGACTGGCATTAAGAGTAAGACCCAACCTGTGAGGGGTGGAAACTAGACCATCCTGAATGACTCTGAGCATAAATTTATTACATGTATAAAGTGTGGGTTTTTTTTTTTTAACCCTTTTTAGTTTGATTCTGATTTAGTAATGTGTTTAGATGGACAAATTTCATGTAGTTTTATCCTCTTTTTCTTCTCAATAGCAACCTTGATAATATTTTATACTGTTTTCTTTCCTAAGGTTTTAGGCTACTGCTTTTAAATATTGTACAAGAAGCATCCTGGTCAAATATGCTTAACCTTGTCTATTATCAGGCATGTAGGAGATAAATGAGATTTATGTTCAAAATATATTATTAGAATATAGTCTAATTTAGCATTTTATTTTAGCATTTTTTTTCCTCCTAATGGCTTCTGCTTGCCAAGTGAATAGGATGCAGTTTAAGTAGCATTGGTACAGGTCCAAACCAGGTAAAGTTCTAAACATCTAAACAGACCCAGTGAGTTTAGGCTTTTAAAATTTTGAGTAGAGTATAAAATTTTTATAGGTTCTTATAGACTGATGTTCTGAAAAAGCAGCAGTTAAGGATTTTTAGTTTTCTTTAATTCTTTTAGTAATTGTCTTACTAACTACATTCAATTGAATTTAGTCTCTAGTTTACCTTTTTATTTATATTATTCAAGCATTGAACTTATTATGAATACTTACTGGATTCAAAGGCACTTTCCAAGGCAAAATAATCTCTATACCCTTTTGGTATTTAACGATTTTTCTATTTCATCACTGTGAAAAATACTTCAATGAGTCTGAAAATGAATTATAGTATCTCTCATAAATAGATTTAATTTCAGGGTAAAATTAATTTTTTACCAGCTGCTCAACCAGGAAAATCCATTCCTTAGCAAATATTTATTGAGCACATATTATGGGCAGGCCCTTGGGTTATAGTGATGAGCATGGTAAATGACCCTTATGGCACTTACAACAGAGTTGGAGACTTTGACATGTAAGTACATAATACAATATTATAATACCTGAAATAGTAGGATTCCTGGCACCAGAGGAAGTGCTGAATAGATTGCGTGGTGGGAAAGCATCAGAGATTGCTTCCAGAGAATGTAGCATCTAAGCTGGAATTTCAGAAATTAATAGGATTGACTACCATGTAAAGGGAGGCATGGAAATATGGTTTGGGTGTTTGGTGCCTCCAAATCTCATGTTTAAATTTGATCCCCAATGTTGGAGGTAGGGCCTGCTAGGAGGTGTTTGGGCCATGGCGGAGGATCCCTCATAAATAGCTTGGTGCCCTCCCCATGGTAATGAGTGAGTTCTCATTTTATTAGTTCATGCAAGAGCTGGTTGTTAAAAAGAGCCTGGCACCTCCCCTGACCTTGCTCTTCTTTTGCCGTGTGACATGTCTGCTTTCACTTCTCCTTCTGCCTTGATTGGAAGCTCCCTGAAGCCTTCCCTAGAAGCAGATGCTGGTGCCCTGCTTGTATAGGCTGTAGAATCGTGAGCCAGATAAACCTCTTTTTGTACATTACCCAGTCTCAGGTATTCCTTTATAGCAACACAGACTGGACATGGTTATGTGTGAGAGAGAATGGATATGTTCAAGATGGTGGTTGGTTAGGGATGGCGGGATTGTGGGGAGTCTGAGGTGAAGGGGAAATGGTGGGGTGAGGCAGGGAGGGCACTTAATGCAGGTCCGGATAGGTCTTATTAAACAGCAGTGAGGAGCCATTTAAGGCTGTTAAACAAGGCAAAGTATATGTTTTAGAAAGATTATTCTGTCTGCAGCATGGGGAATAGATCGAAGGGATACAATAATTAAATAGCCTGTCAGACATACTGCTTTAAATTATAAACTTCATGTTAATCACAGAATTCTATACTGTATTTCAGGATTATAAATTAACTTAGAAATCATTTATTACACCATAGAGATATTTAGTAACTTGGCCAAAGTCATAACCAGATAATGGTGGAGGTAGGAGAAGAGACCAGACTTTCTTACCTTTGTTTGTTTTCGTTTTAAATAATTACAAACTTATATATCCTTATTGTAAAAATTCAGATAATACAGAACCACAAAGTAAAATTCTGAAAGTTTTCTTTTTCTTCTCTTTGTCAATTTCCCCAAAGAAGTATTTTCTAGTTATTATTTGGAATGTGTTATTCCAAATGATCTTTTCTATTCACACATATATTTCTCATACTGTGTACTTCAGTATTGCGTTGCTTCCTTTTTTCAACTGAGAATATATCTTGAATATCTTTCCATATTATTACATATGAATCTATATTCTTAAAAATAAAAAAATCCAAGAAAAAGATTTTATATTGTTTCAGAATTTCAGTTTGCCATATTATTGGATATTTGTCTCAGATTTTTCATCACTACAGTAATCATGTTGTATGATCATCTTTTTGCATAGACTGTATATACTTTGGGAGGCCAAAGTGGGGAGATTGCTTGAGGCCAGGAGTTAAAGACCAGCCCGGGCAACATAGCGAGGCCCCATCTCTACAGTAAAAAGAAAAAATTAGCCAGTGGTGGTAGCCTGTGCCCGTAGTGCTAGCTGCTCGGGAGGCTGAGTCACAAGGATCGATTGAGCCCAGGAGCGCAAAGCTGCGGTGATGCATTCCAGCCTGGGTGACAGAGTGAGACCCTGTCTCCCCCCAAAAAAAGAAAAATTACTTTACCCACAACTTTGCCAATTGAATATATCTCAATTTAAAATTTTCTTAAAAAAAAATTTTTTTCTTTAATCTTACATGTGAAACTAATATCATTATCATTTTATTTTTTCTATTTTCTTAGTGCAGTTGATTATCTTTTCATATGTTTATTATATATTCAGATTTCCTAATCTATGAATTGCTTGTTTTCCTGTTGTATTTAATTTCTTTTCAGTGACTTATAGGGTTTCTTTTTATAACATAGATGTAACCCTCATTTTATGTCATTAATATTTTCTTTCAACCTTTCTATTCTTTTAAATGTATTTATTATTATATCTTTAAATATGCTTAAATATTTTATGGAAATATATAAAGCTTTTCTGTTATGGCAGCTGGGCTTTTCATCATGCTCTAAAAGTAGGGCCTTCTGCAACTGCAGATTGGAAACATGTAGTCTTGTATTTTCTCCTAATATGTTTATAGTATTCTTTAAAAGAACTAGATCCTTAATCTGTGATTTTGGTGTATAGTGTAAGGCAGAGATCTAAACCTATTCTTTCCCCATATTGTAGGCAAGTGTATTGCAACAATTTCTTAGGTATTTGGAAATATTGTAGCTCATTCTCTCTCCACTGATATGAAATGTCTACTTTATCGTAAATTTTTACACCTTTCTCCACTTTTTTACCTTTTAGTTTATTGCTATTTTTAATTGTGCCAGTTACATAAGGATACAGTTAGGAAGAAATATCTTCTGTCAGAACTAATTTCTTTTTGCTGCTTCCTTGAATTTGCTTACTCTGTATTACATTATTATTCCCATGGGATTGGTGCTACCACCATACCCGTTTGTTTAGAATTTCATAGGTTTGAAGCACTGAGAAACTGTAGCATTGGGAACATTATGGAAGTGAAAACTGAGGCTTATTAATGTTAAAGAATTTGACCATGCCACCAAGCTAAATAGTAAGCGGTAGAGCAGGCATTATCTGTTAGTTCAGAGCACTATCCTTTTCCATCATCTTGTCATAATAAACAAGAAACAGAAACCAGAATAACAACACAGCACAAACACAATGTTTTAAAGTCAAATCCAAGTTCTATGATTACATGTTTGTAGTAAAGGGCAAAAATTATAAACGAAGGAGATCTTTTGGGGAGGAAACTCTAGCTGGAATTAGCCAATGACTTGGCAAAACCTCCCTAAAAACTGTATCCGTTTTTTTCTCTTATTACCTAAAATTAGAGTGTCTATTGAGTGTATCTGCCAGTGTGGCTCCTGGGTCAGCAGTGTCTGCATCTTCCGGGAACTTATTAGAAATGCAAATTCACAGGCTGCCCCCTACATCTACCAACCAGAAACTGTTTCAACAAGTGCTTCAGGTGATTCTTACACATTAGAAAGTTTGAGAGCCTGTATTTTAGTGATATTTGCTTATCCGGGTTAATGCTGCATTTCTCTTCCCTTCAAGTTAAGACGTTTTAAATTTGAAGTTCATTCTTTCTATAAGTAAAAATATTTCATAAAGTTATGCTTCTTTTTATTCTTCAGTTTCCTTGATATTTCATGAAGATTGTACTGTTGTGACTGAAATCGGAGCATTATTTTGTCTTCTATTATTTGATGAAGTATCAAGAATGGATATGTGGTGAGATATAAGAGTTTATACTTCTTTTCTCTTAATAATTATTTAAGGTTTCTGATGCAATCTTATAGCAATGCATGGAAATTTCTTCTTGTGAAGCTTATGCTTTCCATATATGCTAGACACATATGGTATGATTTTTGGTTTGAATAAGGAGTATTTAAAAAGTCCATTGGCTCAAGAAATCACCCTGAAATTTTATTTTTA